AATCTAAAGTGTGTCTTTCAGTTCCTTGGTGATTCTGTTAAAAATTACCTTTTTACAGGAACCAGACACGCCTCAGACGTCACCCAGGGTGGTACTCACTCTCACTTTTGCGCATTGGACCCAGTCCTCCAGAATGGGGGGCAGGATCTCATACCTTATGCTGCTACGAATCAGAATGGCAGCTCCACCGCGGGCTCTGCCGTTGAGGTGATTGGCTGAGATCAGGCCTCGCAGGCAGAAGTAAGACCTTTCAGAGAAATGGGTCTCAGATATGAGGACTTCTTCGGTGTTGTTGGTCTTGCAGTAAAGCTCAACCTCAGGCCTGTTTTTGCCTAGGCCGTTAGCATTTCAGATCGTCATCCTAAACCTGCTTGCATAATGTGGAGCAAACAGCATCTGTGTCATGTGAAATAGGATTTTTTCCATCATTTTTTCGAACATGGCCTCTAGCCTTGCCAATACCGCATTAAGTTGATTGCAGGAGCTCGATTTGCGTCCTGGATGCTCTTTGCAGCCTTAGCAAAAGCTAACGTTAGTATTCACTTTGCTGGAGTTTAGGGGCAGTCCATCTCTTAGGGTTGTCTGTCTGCTTACCGTTAGTAGACTCTTTTCCTTCTTATAGACTGGTCATCCTTTATAGGAGACCACATGGGGACCCTGGCGGTGCAGGCAAAAGGCCGGGTCACAGCTCTTCTTTGAGCATTCCGACGAAGAGTGTCAACCTCCACATTTCACACTTCTGTGTTCCAGGTGGCCGGTATCATTGGCAGCGAGAGCATAACTTAAATTTCAATGGAAACTCGACTGTAACCAGAGAGCAGCAAAGTCTTTTGATTTTGAATGCCTCTTTGTTATTTTTCGGCGATCCGATATTTATGATGAAAATGTTAAGGAGTTTTTCGTGAATTTTTGTATTAGGTGGTTGGTCTCTTTCTTCGTGCCCTTAGCTGGTAAGGCCCGCCTCTATCTCGTCCAGCTCAGTCGAGTGATGCAGGCCTTTGACCACTATCCGGAAAGCTCTTTCGTCTCAGGGCTGATAGGTGTGGTCCCGTTTGTTATTATCATTAAGAAATGCCGTAAGTGCAGTGAACCTAGCCTCGAATGTTGTTGTTTTTAGTGGCTATACGTAACTTCTACTTCAACGTCCGCGGATCCCTTCGAGAAACCGGATGCCGTCACTACAAAGTAGCTGCATTGGCCTCTGATATTCGTTGATTAGCATTGCTGCCGGTCAACGGCCACAGAGACGAAACCCGATGAATAACATGCGCAGGCTGAGTGACCATCCAGAAGTAGTTGTCAGGCGCTGGGTCAGCCTTCCGCCGTTTGGGCTGCCGCAGCCTGAGGGCTTTAGATAAGTTAGCTTTAAATATAGTTTTTAGTTTTTAAGATTAAATCCAATAGATCACATCGAGCCTGTAATAAATATTCGGTCTAGAATCTCCAATCTAGTGTTTCATTGCTGCAACCGTCGGTTGGCATACGGTGTCATTAGTAACACTAAACTTGGTAATTTTTTTTATTTTACATTAATTTTCTGTTGAAAAGTATGTCAAAATCGGTTATGAAACACATAAATAAAGATAACGTGTTTAGCGGGCTACGTGTTTGGGGTAGCTAACGCAAATTGTAAGAATTTTTGTATACATGTACAAACACACATTCATGCGCGTCTTGCTTAATTGTATGTATTCTGTGCTGTGTATATGTGCTGCTGTATTAATTAATTTTTTTCGTCAACAATTAATTGTTGGTTTGGCTGTTGAGTAGAGGTGGTGGCAAGTGTTGTGGTCTGTCCCGAATTCAAGTCCTATTGAGCGATTTTATTTTAAATTATTTTTATTACTGCCAAAACAAACAGGCTCGTAGCGCGAGCTGCAATTGGCGTTGCCAGAAGAGGGCTCAGGGTATCCCATAGTCGAGAACTCCCGACTAGAGCCTCTTTCATATTCATATTCATTCGATATCAAATCTTTTCGCTTGGTAACATCATATTCATAGTGATAAATTCATTTATTTGTATGCACGACGGGGAGTTGCTTGGTGGTTTTAGTCAGAGAATGCAAGTGTCATCATGGGCACGAGCTGCGGGCTATTTTATTACCCATATGGTAATCGCGAGTAGTGATATGGGCCTCTGTATGTCACTAAATTCTGTGCTAAGTTTGATTAAAATTTTTCTGAATGTCAATTTTGTATGAATTCTTTGTATATATTATCAGACTTTTCTATTGTAAGGTGGATTTCATTGCTGCATAACGGATCGAGCCGAAGCCCAGCTCCCGCCCAACCGATCAAGGGACGCAGCCGTGCAGCGTACGACACGAGTCGCGAAGTACAAAAGCGAATACAAACCTCGACTATATGCAAAGACTATCTACTTGCTAAATAGTTTAGAATAGATGACTCTATAAGAGGAAGAGAAGACTCCGAGCAAAATACTCTATAATACTTGTTATAGTCGTTACAGAGGACCCTGAACAGTTCATGCAATGCATAGTTAGTAGTCCAAAATTGAAGCGATAAAGGTGTATTATTGTTAGTCTAGTAGGGGTAGAGAAATGTAATTGCCTAGTTAACCCAGAAGAGTATTACACCAAGGAGGAAATTTTCAGATGTCTAGTGTAGAAAACCACAAAAGGCAAACTACAAGAATTGTTTCTATACAGATTCAACTCTGTCATGTTGAATAGAATATTGTGGCCACCTGATACATGAGGCATACCTTGCATATCAAATAGTTTAGATTGGACAGGTTGTCTTGACATCAAGACCACACACATGATGCCTTATCCTTATATGCAAGGTACATATCAAATTATTAGCATATATCATTAATGAAAACTGTTGAGAGTAGCGGGACAAGATGACTACCGTGAGGAAAACAGGAAGTCAAGTGAATTCACTTGGTAATCGAATTTCTAAAAATAGCCCTTTGGGTTCCTTTAAGCAAATACTCTGAGATGTAGCATAGAGGATTGACTGGGAAGCCGAGAAGGCATACTTGCTGAAGCAGTGATTAACGGCGTCAAAAGCCTTGCCAAAATCGGTATACGTAAAGTCAGTCTGCATTCTTTTGTTACATCCATCAATTACTAGCGAAGTAAAGTCAAGAAGGTCAGTGGTCTTTTATAGAGTTACATAAGTGTTGCAGTTCAGATGTTAAGATCCCCTGAAAAGTTTAAGGTAAAACAGATAATTTGGAAATACCACAATAGTTTTCGACACTCACTCGGACTTACTCCCTCTCTTATGGATAGGGATAATAAGCGATTCTTTCCAATCCAATCCAATTCTTGATTATTTTAAGGTCGATGTTAAGCGAACTTTCCGCAATAATGGAATTTAAGGTGCAGTTTGGATAAGGCTGATTATTATTATACTAAGAGTAGAATAGGTGATTTAAAAAGACTTTGCGAACAGATCGGCAATGCCTGGACCAGTATTCGCGCTCTCATCTCTTAAAAATTGCTTAGAAATATGTGCAAACTGACGACGAAAATGGCGAAGGTAATCCTTATAGCATATGAAATTATGCGTAGAAAAGTTTGAACTGGCAATTGCGTAACGGGAGAGATCAGAGTGATTTTCTTAACTTTTTCTAACACCTCGACTCCTCATTTTTTATTTATTTCATTCGTTTCTTTGAGAACTATGAATGCCCTTCAAACCTCGCTGCGTGATCGCAAATATTAAAGAGCGAATAAAATGTGTAATACTATAGTTGAGTGGCAACATCAATGTCTGCACAATTGTACTGTTGAGACCAATCAATGATCACTAGCTTATGAAAATAAGCCTTACGACACATACGGACACAGTCAGCTTATTCCAATTCCTTGATAGGCACTCGGGCTGGTAGATCAAAGATCAAAAGGGTCTTCAGGAAGTGCGACAACACTGTCGAACTAATCCAACACGCAGATAAAATCAAAAGATATATTTCCTGAATTACGTACCCAATTAACCTGCCTAAAGGAAATTTATGTAGACTATCAATAAAATCATTTGACGAACAGGACCACAGATGGGCTGTATCCATCGGCGATGGATGGAGTCATCAGGGAGATTAAAGACGCCAAAAACGACTAAGAGGTCCTTATCAGAATGTAGAGAGGAGATCGATTTTAAAGCGTTAAGATGGCTTAAGTAAATAGACATGTTGGATAGTCAGGGAAAAATAGAACATGAAATAAGGACACAGAAACTTCCAAATACAACTCTTACAGCCACCAAGATCTCCGAGATGGGAAGTTCAATGAGTTCCGACAAAAGACAAACTCAACAACCGTGAGTACTCCTCTTCCGATACGGGAAGTTTGATCACATCTGTAAGAGTTATATTTGAAAGTAAATATTGAGGAATCTGAGATGTCGGTTTTTTTTTTTTTGGTAACAGCCTCGTTCATATTATTGAACCTGCCGGCTTGCACGATAAGTTAAAACTTATCTAACGAACAGATGTGTCTCATAGCCGTGATAGCATGTAAGGGGCTGTATTTTGTATTTTGTAGTCCTGTGTTTAATCCGTCGCTCATGTGAACTCATTCTAAAACCTTGGTCAGCCGTTGCTTTTCTGCTGGAGGTTGAGAAGCTTTTTAATGATTTCGAAATATTTAAGGTTGACTGCACCAGAGAATTAGCTTTAATGTAATTTGTATACTATCCTTTAATTTTGCATTTATAAGTTGGCTAGCTGTTGCTTCGTCTATTTTCTTTTTGATAAAGTTCATTAGTTGCAGCGCATCCAGGAATCTACTGAAATTTTCGTCCTTACCATTGAAGTCAGGGATTAAGAAAGACACCGCCGTTTGGCCAATTTATTGAAATTAAAATTTTTTTCCTAATGTATTTATTATTAATTTCCTAAACCAAACTAGAGCGTAGTGCGACCTGCACTTGGTGTTGGTCGAAGAAGATTCGGTTAGTAAGGCACTCCCGATTAGACTACCCTTACTTGTTATGATAATAATAATCAGAAAATAAAACTTATTTTACAGGAAATACCATTGGTACACAATATTTCCCAAGGAGTTGTTATAAGTAACTATTCTTTGGTTTTGCAAGGCGTAACAAGGGATACGGCTGGCAATTATACTTGTGTCGGCTTTAATGCTGAGGGGGAAGGTATCAGTGTACCCTTCCCTTTGAATATACTGTGTAAGTTTTTAAAAAGATTTTTTTAAAGATAAAAATTAATAATAATAATAATTAATAATAATATATAATATATATTTCATAAATACTTCTATATACATACATTAACAAAATATTACTCTTACCCTTTATACATAACCTTCTTGTATTTCTGTTAGGCGTTATTTTCTTCCATTTATATATATGACTTTTGTGTGAAAATATATATAATTCACAGAGAGAAGCATCTACGATCTCATTAAGTGTCGCATCGACCTCTGAGCTAGAAACTTAATATTTTGAACGTATGTATGTTCTCATATTACCCACCCAATACGATTTAGTTTGAAAGCATCGACAGCTTGTCCTATTTCCATGAAATCCCTAAAAATCGAAAAGGAAATATTGTTTTATATACCTTGAACCCATTGAAAATGGGTTAAAAGGATATTACGTTTTTGTGCAAATGTATTAACAGGCAGAAGGGAGCATCTCCGACCCCATAAAGTATACGTATTCTTGTTCAGCATATATAGCCGAGTCGATCTAGCCATGTCCGTCTGTCCGTCCGTCCATCTGCCCGTCCGTCAGACCGTCCGTCCGTATGTATAAACGAAAGGATATCAGAACCTATAAGAGACTTGAAATTTTAGTGTAGGTCCTCCTAGTCCATCCGCAGCACGAATTTGCTCCCGATAATCGATTACTTAATCCGTTTCCAAACAATCAATAAGAATCGATATCGACATCCTGTTTTTTGAGCAAATTCAGTAAATATTAAGACGTCAGAAGTCATCCAACTTCATATGTTGCGCCTAGAATAGTATATATACTATATCATTCATACCTCATCATTTTATACCTATCGCGAATACACAAGTATTCCATGGCACAATAAAGTATACTGTAGAAAATTTCATTAGGATTGGTTAAGAAACACATTAGTTATGTGTTCTGCCCACGTTTTAGCTACAGCTAGGAAAAATTGCAAGAATTTCTATATACATGTACACGCACACATGCATAAGCGTCTTTATAGAACTCTATCAACAACATAGCAAGTCCAATTATATATTGTTTTCTATGCTGATATTTTCACTTAATTTTCATTGAGACTCAATTTTTGGTGTGGCTGTTGAGTAGAGGCGTTTGCAAATAATATGGTCTGATACGAGTTCGTGACCTACCGAGGAAACCTTTTTTTTAAATCCTTTTTTGACTTCTGAAGTAAATGAGCGCGTAGCGCGATCTGAATTTGGTGTTGGTAGAAGAGGATTCAGGGTTTTCCCTAGTCGGCCGCTCCCGACTAGAGCCTCTTACTCTCTTGCCATCATTAGCAAGGACTGTAAATTATGGAGGTAACAGAGACCATTTTCGTTTATTTCCGTTCCGTTTTGTACTAAGAGGTGGCTGTGCAATTGTTGTACCCGCTTTTGATTAAAACATGGCGACTATAGAAAGTTTTGACGGTTCAAAAAAGAAACGCAATATGTGTATTAAAAGCATAATGAAATTAAATAATCAGAAAATTAAGGGTAAATTGAACCTAGAATCTTTTTTATGCGCTCCGTTTTGTATTTCATTTTAATAAAACACTGTTTTTATTTTTGTTCATGCTTGTGGCCTGTGCATTGAAACAAATAAATATTTCCATTTTCTAAACTTGTGTTTTGTGCATTTTTGTTTGTTCGTTTGTGCTATTAGCTCTGTGGGTAAGCTGCTTGTTGTTGTTTATGCTTTACCGCACATCGCCTCTTTTGGTGTACAAGACCTCGTGAGCAAGCGATAACCTATAAGTAGATCAACCTCTCACGCTTTCGCCTCCAGTTTCAACTTGTGCTTTGATCTATTTCTAAGTATATTCCGCCGCTTGTTGGTGTTGTGAACGCTCTTAATAATTTCTAACTCTACTTCTTCTCATAGCCTCTGTCCATTGGCTTAAGAAAATGTCACATTTTCAAATTTCACATATTTGTGTCCCACCGGTTTTCGGTAACATGTGAGTGGGAAAAGTACCGAGTTGCTTTAATTAACATAAGTAAAAGTTTTTCTTCCAAAACCACGTAATGCGATCTCGAAGTATGGGCTTTTACATACTCTTTTTGACATTTCACCATATTTAAATGCTAACAAGTAAGAGGTTCTAGTCGGGAGTCCCCGACTAGGGGATACCCTGAACCCTCTTCTTCCGATAATCGATAACTTACTCCGTTTTCAAGCAATCGATCAAAATCGATATCGATATCCTGTTTTTTAGGCAATTTTGGTATATAATAAGAGCTAGAGCTCCCAAACTTGACATATAGCTTCTAAAGTAGAATATATATGCATTTGATGTTGGAAGAAGAGGGTTCAGGGTATCCCCTAGTCGGGAGCTTCCGACTCGAACCTCTTACTTGTTTTAATTTTGTAAACGCTTATAGAGGTCAAACTGATATATTAAATCATATTATTACTGAAAGATCGCTTTTCAATCCGTTAAACTCACCGGCCGCTGTTGGTGATCTCGCGTTTATGCTCAACTACTATGCTGCAGCACCAAACACAATATAAACACTTAGATGAGTAACGCCCATACATTTGCATGCATGGCTCCCTAAACTGACTTTTACGATTTCGCACGACTTGCCAGCCACGACTGTTCGAACGCCGAAATCGCGGCTTGCTGATGCTGACACGAGCAACGAAGTTAGTTGCCAGGTCGATGTTACTTTGCGTCGTATCGTTTTCGAAGTTCATTAAGCGAAAAGTTTTAAACTTACGATCGACGCAAAGTATCTTTGCTTTATCCATGAAATGCATGCTTTTTTTTAAATGATATATTAACCTAGATACTAACGAATAATATTACAGGAAAATTTAAGAATTAAATAATTTTTACACAAGGCGCATCTTGTGCAATAACTATATTAAGAAAATAGCACACATAGATTGATTTTACTTTTGTTATTGGACAGCGTATGTTCGAGTAAAGTTCTTGTCTCAGCCAATGGCGTGCAAGTACCATTGGATGCATGCGTGAATTCCGCATGCATAAGAACTTTAAAATATATACATATGTATGTATATATGTGTTGTTATTCACTGCACTGGCTTTCGCTGGCAAGAAATTAATTTTGTTAGTCCCAAATTTGTGTTGACATATGAATGCATGTTTTGTACTGAAGTCGGCTTCGAAAATATGTATTTTTAAGTCGATGCAAATATTTACATATACAATTTATTTAACACAATTTCGGGATAGATGATGATCAGCTCTTGAAAACTAAGATAATTTATTTCTTTGCCAGAGCAGTGAAAAACGAAACATTCAAATATGCTGTTATGTATGTATATTCACACGCATACGAACATAATTGCTTCCACGGCCCTTATAGAGCCGAATCTGAGAGTACATTCTATTTTTAGCCTTTTCGCTCTCTCGGCTGTGAGAACGCAATGATACAGATTTCGTTTTCGTTCTCAATTTCCAAAAAATCAAGCTGCATAGTAGCATTTTGTTGTATGGCGTTACTCATCTTAGTCTTTATATTGTCTTTGGCAGCACTATGTAAAGCCATCTTAAAACTTTTTGAATTGTCTGTAAACACTTCATTTTTTTCGACAGTTTGGAAAGATTCGCTTATCTATAAGAAAGGTAATAAGCCCGATGCCGAAAATTATTGACGTATTTCCAAATTATATGCTATACCTAAAGCTTTTCAGAGAACCGTAACATCTAAACTGAAACATTTATGTAACTCTATCTAAAACCACTACCTTCTCGAGTTTACTTCGCTTGTAATTGAGGGTTTGACGAAAAGAATGCAGACTAGCGTTATGTATACTGATTTTGGAAAGGCTTTCAACGCCGATAATCACGCATTAATGCTTCAGAAATTATGCTGTCTTGGCTTCCCAATTGCGTAAAAGCCCCCAAAAGGCTATTTTTAAAAATTTGATTCCTAGGTGTATTCACGTGACTTCTGGTTTTCCTCAAGGTAGTCACCCTAGGCCGCTACTCTTCACACTTTTCATCAATCATTTACCCTCGATACTGTCTCACTCTCGTCTACTAATATATGCTGATAATACGAATTGTGCCTTGCATATAAAGATATGGCATCACGTCGTATTGATTTCAAGTCAACCTGTTCAATCTAAGCTTTTTGAAATGCAAGGTAATGTTTTTCTATAGAAGCCCTCCTTAAATGATTTCTTACAAATATCTTGACCACTCCTTACACGACAAAGACCTCACATATCATTTTGGTACAATCTATTCTAGAATATACCTCATGTATTCTGAGTATTTTTCAATACAGAATTGAGTCTGTTCAGAACAATTCTTGTTGCTTCCCCTTCGTGGTTTAAATTGGAGCCCTCGTGTGCGGTTACCGTCTTACTCCAGTAGACATCTGATGATTTATCTTGCTTTCTTAATTAATCTTAGAGCCACGCTTGGTGTACTATTTATTTATAAAATAATTAAGGGTGACTTTTCTGTTTTGACTAGCCATTGAAACTTCTCCATCCCTACTAGACTAGGAGAAACTTTTGACCCAGATGATGATTATCATGGCGAGTTAAAAGAACTCTGTATAACGACAAAACCTTTTCAAGGAAAACGATCTGAGTTGCTCGTAACTCTTGTTCATAACGATCATGCGATTCCGAGTATAGAGAAACTCAATCTACTAATCTTATGTGTCTCTGGTGAAGCTCGAGGCACTGTTATAGCATATCAAGTCACCTAGGAAAATTATTTGAAAGCATTTGGCAGCATAAAGGGGTTAACGATAATGCATGTTTAATATTCAATGAGAATAATTCGCCTCTATTTAGCTTACCAAAAAAAGCGAAACCTTATGCCACATCACAGAAATCTAAGATTGATACTGTCTTCGCGATTCTCATACAACTCGCTATGAACAATGTTGACCTAATGACCAGTCGCAAATGTAAGGATTATCTCGATTATGCAATCATTCTGATATGGACTGATTGTAAATCGTAGATATCAACATCTTTCAGCCAAAGTTCCG